AAGTAAAAATATTCCTAAAAGTAAATTTTTTCCAAAAAGCTACTCCAGTAAATGTGAAGTCATTTTGACACCAGTTTATTGCTTTAAATGGTGACGTTGCGTCCTGAATGGAGTTCATTTTACCGTTATTAGAGTGGATGCAGTTTTCTGGTCGATCGCTGATCTTTAGCAGATCATTTCTGCATGTTAACAATAGTCTCCTCACTGTTGCCATCTCAACTAATTTTTTGCTACATTTATTGAAATTTCAGGCCCAGTAGGTCGACTTCACAACAGAAACATTCAGGTTGTCTTTATTTATTCTAGCAAAACAGGAAACCAAGTTGGAGGTTAACATCAGTCCAGCTGCTTCTGCCTCTATACATAAAATAAAAACCCCTTAAACTACAGAGCAATAGCTCCCAGTTATAAAATTAAACATAATAACGGCTAAGACATACAAGACATCGCAAAATTACTCCTTAAACATTGCATATGATTAAATGTGTCTAAAATATATGTGTAAACATATTACTTGTAAATAAAACGCAGAGCTGATCCACAGTTACCAACGGCAACAGAAAAAGAGGGCGGGGCTGTTGGTGACTGGTTGCTATAGTAACCACCAACTGCCAAGAGCAGCGTAGTGTAACTTAATTCACCAATAAATATGTGGAGAAACAACTTCTTTACTGAACCAAAATAAATCCAAACAAACTTCACGTCTATAATTAAAATAAAACCCTGTTACACGTGCAGTACCTCGTCGGCCACTAGGAGGCGCCCTGTTTGCGGGATACTTTAAGGAAGTGTCCCGCAAACAGGCGCAAACAGCTTCCTTAAAGCCTTCGTCGTGTTGAAGACGATGGTTCCTCCTCATCTGTTGAGTTCGCTGTGAACCTGGGAGGAAAAACTCTCGTCTGGCACCTGAGCTCGCTGTTTGTTGGCAAAAAACAAAGTGTTTGCCTCTGTTATCCGTAGTTGCCATGGAAAGATTTATTGCATAATTACTGTTATTGGTAGTGAGCAGAGGATGGACCCCGAAGAGGCTGGATCCTAGACAGTGTTCATGAGTCAGAATAAAACCATGCCAGTTAATCAGATTTCCTTTTGGCTGCGGCGTTTTTTAGCGCTCAGTCGAACGGCTCTGGGTCTCTGTTCCTACAGGTCGAGAGGTGTGAAGTAATGGCTTTAAAATTTGTCACCATGCAGATTTGCAGACAAAGTGGCTCCTGCTGCTTTAAAGCAAACAACAAAACAGGTGTTCTGTATTGTCTTTGTTGTTTTATGTTGTGAAACTTTCTCAAACCTATAAATGTTTGCGGGAAGTGAAAAGAACTTGCAACCAACACTGAGAGCAGACTATCAGCTATCTGCCAGAGTAAGCAAATACCTCTGCCTCTGTGTCATGAGGGAAATGTTTTTCTAAGCCGTGGAAGAACGAAAGAAGCCAAGGGCACAAAGAGCTCGATAATTACTGTCTTCTAAACAGGCAGCTGTTTACTAATGAAAACTTTTGTGATTTATAACATCTGGCCTGCAGTTTGATTGATTTATTAATGGAGAAATGTTTGATGAAACTGAGACGTTAGCAGCTAACAGGCTTTTAGTCATGATTTAATCTGTTGGACCAGAGTATTTAAAACGGGAAAAATCAAGATTTTTCACTTTCAGTGATTTTGTTATGGAAACCCAATTCTGCCAAAAAATAAAAGCGCAACAGAAAAGTTATAATTTCAGGTTTTAGAGTCATAATTATGAGATTTAAAGTAATAAATATTAAATTCAAAGTCATGATTTTGACTTTCAAGTTGATAATTGAGATTCAGAGTCATAAATATTAAATTCAGAGTCATAATTTCAACTTTCTAAGTTATAACTATGAGATTCGCCCTTAATTATGACATTGAAGGTCATAATTATGATTCAGTCATAATTTTGAGAAAGTTATAATTTCGACTTCTTAGGTCATAATTATGAGATTCAAAGTAATAAGATACTGAAGCAGTCTCAAAATTATGACTTTGAAATTCTAACTTCGTCCTTCATATTTATGACTTTAAATGTCAAAATTATGACTATCCTTGAAATTATGACTTTCCTTCTTGTAATTATGACATTAAAATTTGAAATGATGTTTTTAAAATCCATAATTAAGACTTCCTGTTGGGATTTTGGCAGGAATGGGCTTCCATAAGTAGTTGGTTTATTTTAAAAAATCGGAGAGACTAAAGTCTCTTCCTTTTTTTAGGTTTCAACCACAGAAATAATTCAGAGTATGTGGAAAATTTTCATCAGAAATGTTGAGTTTAAGAGGCGACAAACTAACAGCCGACATTAGTTTTATGTTCATTCCCTCCATTTCTTGTGATTCATTGGTCGTGGAAATTAACAGATCCCAGACCTTTTAGTGCGCTAACGCATAGTTGAGGGTATATTTTCAGCAACAATCATCAAAAACCACAAAGTTTTTTATTTTGAGATATTAAACTCTTTATCCCCTTTTTGACTGCAACTCAAGGACAAACCAACATGTAGATCTGTTTACACAGACAGATGGCTGTGCAGTCCAAAGTCACAGTCTACCCCCACACACTCTCTCTCTCTCTCTCTCTCTCTCTCTCTCTCTGTTTTACTCTGGGTCTCTGTGTCGTTGCCCGGCGGACACTGGTTCATATCCAGTGTGATTCGGGTCGAGGCTTTCCCCGGTTTGTTCATCGTTGGATTTATTTGTCGCCATGTGAAGCTAGGTGTGTCCTTGGCCTTTGACCTTCATGTCAAAAGCAGCTAGAAGAGATTTTACTGTCATGGTTAGTTTTTACAGCGTGTCTGCACGTCCTTAAAAAGTCTATCAGGGTGTTTTCCTCCTGATTGTCCGGTAGGTTCAGTTTGATTAGGGACCAAAATTGCCACATTTGTTACATTTTCAGCTGATGTGGTTCACTTCTCCACTGACCTGTGTCAAATGATCCAAACTAAGTGAAAAACCTGTTCCCCTCCTCGCCTGTGGGGGCGCTGCACCAAGAACCACACAAAGCACTGCTTCCTTCCTCACTAAATGTACCAAAAATGGAGTAGCATCAGATTTTAGGATTTCTCTTTTGTCTGTGGCTAAAGACCAAGAACCATTTCTCTTGTTTGTTTTGGTTTACCCAGAATGCCCTGCGCTGTAGTCCACTTCCTGCTTTTGGAGCGGTCTCCGGTGCGCATGGTGTTCACACCAGAGTTCATGTTAATCAAACTGAGGTTTCCAGACGGACCAGAGCTCGTTTTTTTGATCGATTACGCATTCCCACCCCCACAAGCGAACTGGACTTTCCATTGAAATGAACAGAAGTTGGATTAAAGTGGACTAAACGGGGCTGGTGGAAATGAACTCTGATATTCATTTATGCTTTAAAATGTCTTAAATTCATTAGAAAAAATGATTTTTTTTTGTTTTTCTAATGACAATCATAGATCTTAAAATAGTTCCATCACTACAAAATGTATTGTATTTAGTTTTTCTCTTTTATGTCAGGCAAAGTTTGAGTCGCACGCAGACATCGTCATTCTGTGACCTGTTGTGGCTATCGCTAACTAGCTTCTAATATGCTTAGCTAGCTTTTATTGCCAGTTTGCTGGAGACGTTCATCTTTGCCATTGGCTGATTTCCATTGCTAACCCATTCTATGCTACATTAATTTTTTCAGGCAGTGACAGTTCATAACTGGGTCGATGGACTGCTGGTTTCCAGCTTTTGTTCTGAGGTTTCACTCGTCCTTAATGACATCCAGCATGTAGGTCATGAATCTGCTTCAGATACCTTGATGTGATCAGATTTAATTGGCCTTTCAGTTCACTGGATGCACTTCAAACTATCACTACTGAGCTTTGTGAAGAGTAGAGACTCTTCTACCTCACTTCAGATTTATTTTCTTCTTGTCTGAAAAGTTGCTAAATTCAGGGGACAGTGGCTGATTTTAAACCTTCGAGCTACTGGACAAGATTGGTAAATATTCCAAAATTAAGAAAATTAGGGCAGATTTGTTGGTGCAGCCCTATAATTTAGAGATTCATATTCATAATATGTGTTTTTAATTTCCATTTGCATGATTTATCGTTTCTTTCTTGGTATCAAAAACTGGATGATCAAAGTTTTCACTGGTGTTTTGGATTTAACTAGCCCATTGTGTATTTACAGAGACTTCATATTTCATTTTATTTGTTGTTTTGTTTGTGTGAAATGTTCATTAGAATTAAAAGTTTATCTTTGACAATGTGTTCTTGCATTATTATTTCCATTATATTATTTGAAAATTGTTTCAAAACCACAATCCCAATAATTCCTGGGACAAAATTGAAATGAGTTATGCTGACAGGTCTGGTTGAAACTATCCTGAAAAATGAGGTTTAACAAAAAATCTCTTTTTGTGTTTGTGGTACTAACTTAGAATATTTGCGTGTATGCATCATTACGGGTTATAACTTGCATCATGTAAGGTTGAGCTGTTTAGCGTAAGTAAACAGCTCCCCAAACACCATCAGGTGGGAGTGATGGTGGGAAAATCACTCCCACCTGTAGGAGTGATGGCTACTCCTGCAGGTGGGAGTGACCATCACTTTGTTACAATGTTTTTCACCATTTTTTCAAAAAATCTGCAATAAACTCACAATTATGTGTTGGTGTGAAAAAGTGCTGGGATTTGTTGATGTTTCTCAAGATAATTTGCAATAATCTGTAGGATCTAATTGATGTATTTTGGCATTAAAGACATAAAAACTGTTTTGATTTGATTGATAAAATGATGTTTATGCACACTGTTATCTTGAAGGTTCATTTTATGTGTCCCTTTAACGTCTAGAGGGCCACATAAAGAGCCCCGACGGTCCGGATTTGGCCCCCAGACCTCGAGTTTGACGCATGTTCCAAGAAGCTACAGTAGTTTATGTAACATTTTCTCATGTGAAAGCCTCAGAGCCAGGCTGTTGCATCAGATTGTGCCTCCTCGCCTAACATTGACCCCCATGTGACCCTGCAGCCCAGCACTCTGCCCCAGGGAACCATCAACATGAACCAGTGCCTGGACGTGCTGGACGGCGAGGCGCGGACGGGCCAGAAGAGCTCCCTGTGCATCCTCACCCCCGACAAGGAGCACTTCATCCGGGCCGAATGCAGAGAGATCATCAACGGGTGAGGCATGGGCTGTTACCGTGGCAACGGGCCATCACCACCTGCCTGTGACATCATTCACATTCAAAAATACGTCACTGATCCCAAAGGGAAATGAAATGTTGTCGTAACTCATTAATTCCAATTCTTCAGTTACTGTAGATAGTGATGACTGTTGGCAGGAAAGTTCTCCTATAGCAGTGTGTGATTTTATTTTTTTTCCATATATTTTTACAAGAAATTAATTACTCAAGAGTAAAAAAAGTATTTGGTAAAAAGTACTGAGTAACTGATAAAATGATCAATAGTTTAATATTTAAAAATATCATCAGATGGACCAAAATATAAAGTCAAGAGGAAATTTTGGTACTTTAAAGATGAAAATTACAAATAATTATACAAAAAATAACAGAATCAGGCAAAATAATTTTCCCAAATCAGTTTCTTTCAGTAAAAAACTCATAAAACTTTAACAGAAACTTCAGGTATCTGATTAATTCTGGTTAAAACATGTTTGTTTTCCATTCAGTGGGTAGAAAATCCAGAAATTTTACTCAAGTTGAGTAGAAATACGTCACAATAAAATTAGTCAAGTAAAAGTAAAAAGTACAAAAACTCCTAAAAGTCAATTTCTTTGAAAAAGTTCTTAAAGTAACTGAGTAAATGTTGCTGGTTCCCACCCAATTGTGGCCAAACAGATTTTATGTTAAGTGGACTTGGCTGCAGCTGAGGCTGTACCGCCCCCTGCTGTCCGCTTCAGGCTCTGCATTGGCTCACATTCCTCCATCCAACATTTCTCTCTGACATCAGACTTTCTGAGCAGAGACTTCAACTCTCAAGCTTTAGTCTCCATAATTTGGCTCCTGCCTTTGTTTCCGAGCCGCTTCCTCTGTGGCTGCTGCTCGCTCTGTGCAGATATTCTTGGAGAAATGTGACTCACTGCACCCACTCTTCACATCGCTACCTGCTCCATCACCATCACCTCCCACTCTGCCTCATCTGGCCTCCATGTGTCGTTACCGGAGCAACTGATGGTGCAAATCATGTTTATTTACTGTTTTCCTCATACTTCAACTATAAATGCCTCTATTAAATAACAAATGGTGTGATTAAAGTTTAAGGTTTTTAACCATTAAAGACCAACAAAATGAAAAAAAAAAGAATTAATGTTGGTTATTTTGAATAAATTAAGTAATTTTGCTCCATTTTATTGAGACGTTTTAGTGATTTTAGCTCCTCATTCATCACATGATTTAATCAGAAATGGCTGACACTTTAATGATTCATCCGATTCAAGCTCAATGTTCTGTTGAATCCAGTTAAGCCCACTTAATCACCATAAAATGTTTTTTTTTATATATATATCAATGCCAAGATTTAAAAAGTGCAACAAAAATAATCATTTTGCTGGATTCCCTGACTCAGTGTTTACAGTTTCTGTTGCTACGGATCATTGACTGCACAGTTTATACACTAAAATGTTCTTTTAAGAAAGTTAATTCACTAAATGCTAATTTTCTAACCGTTTTTAACGATAAACCTTTTATATTCCATAAAATAAGAGAGGAACAAAAATTTGCACCTTCAAATATGAAAAAAGTTCATATATTCACCTTCAGTAATAAAATTCATCCATTTATTCCTATGTTTATGAAAAAAAGCGTTTAAAATGTTTAAGTTTTAGATGTTTTTTTTAATCATCACTTTTCTGCTAAATAATGTTCTATGTGTATTTTAAATGTATTAACCAATTTGGTACCAAAGGATTCAGCAGCTTTTTTTGAGTGAACTAAGCAGTGCAGTGTGTGAAATCAGTCGGTGTGTGTGTGTGAAATCAGCTGGTGTGTGTGTGAAATCAGTCGGTGTGTGTGTGAAATCAGTCGGTGTGTGTGTGAAATCAGTCGGTGTGTGTGTGAAATCAGTCGGTGT